GACCAGATGATCATAATGGTCCCTTCTGACCTTAAAGTCTATGAGTCTATGAGACTTCATTTTCCTGCGTGTGGAGCCAGGGCTGAGCTCGGGGCAGCAGACCCTGAACAAACATGGGCTAGGCGGGGCCCCTCCTGGGGGGGGTTGATTCTTCCTCGCTGAGGCTGGGTCTAGTCCCTGTCCCGGGCTGTGACTCGAACTGCAGGGGCTGGTGAGCCATGGTTTTATACTCTGGGTTTTATGCAGGGCAGGATCATACCCCAGGGGCCTTGGGGTTCCCTGCAGAGCCCGGCAGTAGGTGCCATGGGCCGGACTGGTCCCCGGCGCTGTCCTGGGGGCTGGCTTGGCTCGGGGTGGGGGTGGGTTGGAAAAGAGAAGCGCCCCAGTAGAGGAGGGTCTGCAGTGCCCCGGCGGCCAGGCTGGGGGAGGCGCATCGGGGCTGAGGAGGACGGAGGGTCTCGGCCGGCGCCCGGGTCTCCCGTTTTGGGGCGCTCCAGCCACCGCTCCCCGGCCCACGTGGCTTCCCGCCGCCTCTTGTAAAAGTTTCCGCCTCGCGCCGTCGCTAGGCAGCGGCTATACACGCCCACCAATGAGAACGCGGAGGGGCCGCCGCGTTCCACTGTTGCTGCGCGACCCCAGCCGGGGCGTTCCAGAGTCGCTACGAAGCGCCTGGTCGGGTCCGGTCCCTGCGGAGCCGTTTGCCCCGGAGCCAGACCCCCTTCCCGGCACGTGAGTCAGACCCTCCCCCACTGCAGGGGCTGGATCGGACCCGGGGCATCTGGGGCAGGAGCCCGAGCAGGGCCCCCTCCCCGCACACCTAGGGGTGCACCCGCCCACCCGGGACCCGGAGCCCCTGCCCTGGGCCGGCCCCCTGGGAGCACCCGACCCCGGGAACCAGAGACCCTGCCCTGGGCTAGGCCCCCTGAGAGCACCCACTGTCCTGGGACCTGGAGCCTTAACGGGTCCCCTCAGCTTGGTGCCCTCACCCTGGGGAGCCCAGCACCCACATAAGAGTCTGTGCTGCCCCATGTGAGATGGGGAGGGGACTGGTCCCAGTATGCAATGCTCCCTCGCTAGCCAAGCTACCTTCATTAGCGAGGGCAGCATGAACCTCTGGGTCTCTCTCGAGGGGCCCACTTCTCCCCAGCCAGCCCATAGCCTGGTGACCCCTTTGCCTGTGTGCAGAAGGGGTATAACACGCCACTAAATTATCCCCCCCCCCATGCTGATACACCCACCCAGCACTCACTTTGCTCTAGGGTAGATGGCACACCTGGTGCAGGGCCCGTTACGGCTCTCATTCTGTCCCTCTTTCACCACCCATCCCTGCAGGACGCAGGCACCATTTACAGCCACATGAGTGTTCCCAGGTACCTGCTGAGGTGCCGGGATGGCTCCAGGTTGGGCAAAGCTTGGGTCCCCTGGCTCCATTACTCCCACGAGGGTTGTGGGTACCACACCACCCCTGCATGCGTGTGGTTGGCTGCTGCCCATGATGCCTGTGTGCAGATGTGCCTCTGGAATGCTATCCTCCATCCCCTGCCCAGTGTGTGTGAGGAAGGTACGGGCACTTGGGTTGAGCCTCTCTCAGCACGCTCACCAGGGGCAGGAGCTTTTGCATTGGCCTGGTTCTTAGCAGTTGCAGGACCCCAGCCCCATTGCTGGGCAATTGGCCACTCAAGGGTGAAAGCAGAGCAGGAAATGTGGATTCTCCCTGTGGGGGCAGAAGCAACGGGATCAACGGTTGAACACCTTACGACAGGAGCAGGGGCTGTCAAGCATAGTCCACAAACAGATCTTTGGTTGTCCTCTCTCGCACATCCTTGGCCTTTTGCAGCAGGACTGGGAAGTGCTGCGTGATCACAGCACTGCTTACAGAGATCTTCAAATGTATTTGCTTTGGAACTGGTCCCTGGGCCAGCCTCTCCCCATGGCTCATCAGTTAGAACTTGGTGTATGTGCTAAACTGGAATGGTATCCCTCCTGAATACGGAGCCTACAGAGTGTAACTGGGGAGATTCGGATGATCTTGGAGCAAGTCTCATATGCTAAGAGGAGTCTGTTCCTGTCCTGAATGTTCCTCTGTCTGGGCGGTAGGGTGCCCAGATAGCAAGTGTGAGAAATCTGGAGCGGGGGTGGGGGCAGTAGGATCCTATATAAGACAAAGCGCCTGATATCGGGACATCTGGTCACTCTACTGGGAGGACAAAGGCAAATTGTTCCTAATATTAAGAGTTCCCTGAAAACTGCAGGGTGACGAACCACAGAGCAGAGACTGACTGGAGTCACTGGCGGGAAGGACAGAAATCTGCTCCGTAATGGAGGTGTCTGCTCAACATGTGCCCCCCGATTCCGAGCTCACTCCAATTAGCCCATAAGCCAGTGCCAAGGTAACAGCAACAGTTAATGGTCCCCAGCTCCCATCAGAGTCAGTTTCTAGGGCTGAGACTGAGGGGGGTGGAGTCTTTAATCCCCAGGGCCCTGGTTCAGATCCAGCCTAGGGCTGGCAGTAGCCAGTACTGTTACCATTCATGACATATGGTGGCTCTCAGTCCAGCTCCTTGCTGTCCCCATCCCAGAACCATCCATGCAATTGGCTCCCCTTGCTGGCAGCCTCAGCAGAGAGGCTGAGGGCTGGCTGGGCTCCGTGGGGACTGACTGAGCTCCCCACTCCCCTAGTCTGACTCGAGCGCAGGCTGATGCTCACTGGCAGAGCAAGGTGGCGGAGGTTTGAGTTGCTGCTGCTCAGACGCTGCCAGTTCTGCCCTCGGTGGGCTCCATCGCTGCCGTGCAGCACGCTCCGCCAGCACGAGTTTAGACACGCCGACTGCTAACGAGACTCCGCAGCGCTCAGCATCTTCGTGAGAGTGTAGCCCCCGGACGCGCCTCTCAGCGTCACTTCTGTGAGAGAAGCCAATCCTGCAGCATTTCCAACTCCCCTGCTACCTGACGGCATAAGACCTCACTTGTCAGGCTGTCTGGAGTGGTTCATGACCGTGAGTGCCAACCTCGGGGCAGACTGACAGACTGGGTAGACTCCCCAAACTGGCTGTATGCTCTATAGTTAGATTTCACCAACCCACTAACAAGTATGAACTCCCAAAGCACTGTAACAGCCTTACCCCGGAGTCACAGACAGTCCCCGTGGGCATTCCAGTCTGTCTTGCCACCCAGGCACGCTGGACTTAGTGAGAGATGGTTGCTCTACACCAAAGGTCACAACGTAGTCAGGTTGCTTCCAGTCCAAGAGAGCAGCCGCTTACCCCAGGTCAACTGATACCTCAGATCTCACATTAAAGACAACATGTGTAGCTCATCCTATAGTAAACCATCTACGGATTTATTAACTAAGAAAAGACGGGAGTTGTCACAAAGTTAAAGCAGGTAACATAGACACACGAGTCTGTTGTTTCAAAAGGTGGCAGGTTGTAGTAATCCGTCAGTCCTGAATGTCTTTTAGGGCCAACCCAAGTTACCCCTGGGGCGCTCTGCTTCTGTTTCGTAGCTCTGACCCTGTGAGAGTCCAAACAGCAAAAGCTGAAAAAATTTCTTGTCAGCTTCCAGAATTCACGCAGATGGGACAAGTCCTTTTGCACGTAGCCTCTTCGGGCAGGGGCAATTAAAGTCTTTGTATTGTGTTTAGTTTTGATAGGCCTTCTTGATGGGCCAGAGACGATCCCTCCTGCCTGGGTTCACGGTGTCCGAGCAAACATTCTTTACAGTTACAAAGCAAAAACTTAAATATTACCTTCTAGCATGTGTTAAAGAAATGATCCGGGAGATTAATGCCTGCAGCAACTTACAAGCATTTCACAAAGTCTTAACACATTGTTGTAAGTCCAATACCCATCTTCATCATACTAACATGCAGGGGAACCAGACTGCTTTCCAGCAATGAATTTGCCAGTGCTCAGCTGAGGCCTAAAGCCTTGACAAGAGCTGGTACCTGGTCTGCCAGCGTCACATCTCTCAGTGGCCAGACTGGAGTGGCGGGAACACTCTCGTACTAAGATTCAGACTTTCTGATGCTTTTGGAACTTTGTGAGATTTGTGCAACACGTAGAGCGGGACGCTCAGACACTCTGGGAGCAGAGTTAACTCTTGTGAACATCGCACCCGGGAGCCAGGAGACACAGCGCCAGGGCTGCCCCAGCCATAGGCCCGCAGGGCGTTACTGCACATAAGGCCTGGTCGCCGGGGTCTCTCTTTTGGGGACATCAGGTGACAGTCCTCAGGTGGACACTGATCATTTGCCTGTTAGCTGTCACCACACGCTTTCCATGGAATGTGCCTCGAACGAGGGAGTCTCAGAAGTGCAGGGTTGTGGCGCTGCCCTGAGCAAACAGATTGTGAGTGTTTGTGTATCCACTGGTGATTAGCAGCTGAATCCATGTTTAGTGCACTTGTCTCGCACCTCTGAACGCTGGCACTAAGTGCATTGGAAGAGCTCAGTGCTGGGGGAGCGTCAGGCTGGCATAGTGGGGGCGGCTGTGAATTGGAATTAAGGGGCATTGGCAGAGGGGGACGAGGAAGGGACACACCTCTGGGGGTGTGGCGGGAAGGGGCTGTGGGAGGGACTGAAGGGCATTATCAGGGAGAGGGACCCCCAGATCTGAAGTAGTATGCGGGAGGGGGCTGCAGGGTGGGAATTCAGGGCATCAGCAGAGCTGTGTGCATGGGAGCTCAAATCTAACATAGCAGGGGGGCTGCAGGGCAGAATTGAGGAGCATCGGCAGAGCTGGGGGGGCAGGTCTGGAATATCGGGGGTCTGTTGGTTTGGTCTGAGGGGCACCAGGAGAGCTCTGGGGGGACTCTGGGTCAGGACTGAGGGGCACTGGCAGAGCTGTGGGGTGGGTAGCTCAGGACTGGAAGAGCGGGGGGGGGAGGGCTGTGGGTCAGGACTGAGGGGCACTGGCAGAGCTGCTCTGTGTGTGGGGAGCCCAGGACTGGAAGAGCGGGGGGGGGGAGGGCTGTGAGTCAGGATGGAGGGGCACTGGCAGAGCTGTGTGTGTGGCGAGCTCAGGACTGGAAGAGCAGGGCGGGGGGCTGTGGGTCAGGACTGAGGGGCACTGGCAGAGCTGTGTGGGGGGTAGCTCAGGACTGGAAGAGCGGGGTGGGGGGCTGTGGGTCAGGACTGAGGGGCACCAGGAGAGCTGTGTGGGTATAAATTCGCTGACCCGTCTCATTCCTGCCACCAAAATGAAGTGTTGTTACTGATCCCAGAGCCAGAACAGCGCTGGGCCGACCTGTGCAGGTGGGATCAATGCAGGTCTGGGGATGTCAGTGGAGCTCTGCCCATTTACACAGTGGTATCTGGCCCTGGGTGTCTGCCCGTTTGGCGGTGCACCTGCCCCAGACCTGCCTCCTCGTAGGGCTCCCCAGCCCCCGTGTGCTGGTTGGATACGGACAGTCATCGGCTCCATGTCCAGAGGCTACTGGCTCCCTCCTGGCCTGCGCTTCCCTCCCCAGTGCCCGTCAGTCACCATTGCTAAAGGGATTACAGCTGCTGTGCTAAGGCGTCCTGGCCAGCCCTCGATGACGGGCTGAGTCCACCTGCCCTGTGTGCGGTGACCATTAGAAACCCTCCCCCAGCACTGCGTGTTTCCCAAACCCAGCCATGTGATGAGTCCTGCCACCTGCTGCCTGCTGCTGCTTGGCATCTCTGCACAGGGGCCTGTTGGGCAGCATGCCAGAGACACACGGTCACCAGGTTCTGCTCCCGTCAACCCTGGCCCACGGCGCCACTGCTGAGTTAGCACCTAGCTCCTGGGATGCTTGAGTCTGGGTCGAAGCCTCTGCCAGGCTGAGATGCTGGCTGAGCTGTGCTGTCGGGCAGGGCAGGTCTGGGCAGATCTCCCTGCCCAGCCACGTGTGCCCTGGACATCCTGACACTGAGAAGCCTGTTGGCGTTCAGTGAGCGGGAACGGTCTGGGCTGGCAGGGTGGGGGAGAAGCTGGCACTGCTTGTGGAGGCCTCGTTCCCTGCCTAGCAGACAAGCTGTCTGCAGTGTCGCCAAATCTCAGTTTCACGATACATGTGTTTTCCTTAAAGCCCCAGCTCCCGGAGTCAGGTGATGATGTGAAAATTTCATCTTTCATTTAAAGACGTCAGTTTCTTGCCTTTCTGATGACAGAGAAAAAAACTGAAAATGGCCGTAAAAGGCAAATAAACAGACATGCCCCTCCAAGCACACAATGACTGTTGTAAATCAATCTCATAATTTGGGGGGCCGCTAGTGGAGACTCTCCCTTAGCTCCTACCAGAGTCGGGAGCTGTGACACACAAGTGAACAGTTCTGAGTCCATCCAGCAGAGGGCAGCGCTGCACAGTCCTTCTAGTTCCGTTTGCTATGGCCTAAGTGTTCAGAAGAGACCACTGATTTTTGGGGCCCAGCATGAGCCACCCCACACAGGCATGAGTTCCAGGAAGTGCTGAGCCGGCGCTCAGTGAAACTCCACCCCCCTTTGAGGTGTCTCTAGTTGGGCCCCCAATTGCTGGTTCCTCTTGAGAACTTAAGCCCACATCTGAATGATTTCCTCTGGCGTTGCCACATGCTGCATGTGACCCTTTTCTGGCAGCTGTGCCTCCGGGCTTGGGAAGGAGGCAGCTGGAATGTCCCAGGTCATAGCTGGGCGACCGGCGCCGTATCCGTACGGCCAGGCGTGGCTGTCACGGGCAGTGAACGCAGGACCTTCTGCACCAAACACAAGCATCTAACCCGGGGGAGCTTCTGCAGGTGGGCGTTAGCAGCAGGCTGGCACGTGCCCTCGGGGGCCAATAGCGGGCGACATGCCCACACGCACTAAGTCCGGTCACTGCGGAGCATCAGGCTGCTCTCAGAAGTAGCTGCGTGAGCCGCGGCAGGAAGGTCCCCCAGAGCCACTTGCCCCAGGGCAGCACGGAGGGAAACTGACCCACTTGTTGCTGCTTTTGTGTTCCAGGGCCAGGCAGCATGGCCGACATGGAGCTGGACGGGGGCCGAGCCACCCTGGAGGAGGATGGCAGCAAACCCGGTAAGGGCATGGCCTGCGGGTGGGAATTTACACCTTCCTTGTGCCAGCACAGAGCTCCCACACACCCAGTAGTGCCCAGCCAGGGACGCTGCCCTGCTCAATGGCCAATCAAGGGTGGGGGGTGACGCCCGGGGCGTGGACATTTCCAGCTCCAGTTCACTCTGTTTCCTTAAGCGAATTCGGGGGATGGTGGAAGGTGCCAGGGTGGCAGCCCCAGAGCCTCAGACACAGCCGAGCGAGCTCCCCTCCCAGAGCACCCAGCTGAGAGCAGAGCGCCGCGGGCACATGGCACGTGCCACAGCCAGCGAGGGGAAGACGGGTGCACAAAGAAAGGGGCGGGGTTTGGGATTCATTTGATTGTATTACAGTCGACATCACAACCACAGCTCGCCTGTCAGTGCACACACACAGACAGATGTGAACACACATGCACAGAGCTCACCTCCCAGTGAGTGGACACATGCACACGTGCACACACACACACACACACACACACAGATGTGAACACACATGCACAGAGCTCACTCCCAGTGCGTGGACACACGCACACGTGCACACACACACACACAGATGTGAACACACATGCACAGAGCTCACCCCCAGTGCATGGACACACGCACACGTGCGCGCACACACACACACACAGATGTGAACACACATGCACAGAGCTCACCCCCAGTGCGTGGACACACGCACACATGCGCACACACACACACAGATGTGAACACACATGCACAGAGCTCACCCCCAGTGTGTGGACACACGTACGTACACACACACACACGCAGATCTGAACACACATGCACAGAGCTCACCCCCAGTGTGTGGACACATGCACGCACACACACACACACACACAGCTCATCTCCAAGTGCACACAAACACAGGGCTAAAATTATACACGTGCAAACACCTGTCTGTAGCCCCCACCCCGAGTCTCCCCGAGGGGTTTCACATGAGGTCACGGCATTTCGTTGGTGACTCCTTATAACATGCCACCCACTGCTGCGTCTCTTTGGCTGCTGTAGTGGGACAGAGGAGCTGACGGTCTCCGTATCAGCCCGTGAGCAGAGGCAGCGAGACAGCATCTCAGAGCTGGAGCCGCACGGCTGGTTGCATGCCGCGCTGCGAGGGAGGGGTGTGTACACAGCCACACTCACACTCACAGTCTGGGGGACTGGCAGGAGAGCAGTGTGACTCCAGCCCATTGGCTCAGCACAGCCTCGTGTGCATTTCATCTGACAGTTTGTGTCTGCCCTTTAATCCATCAGCTCTCGTGCTGCTCTGGGAAGGGGGCAAAGCTCTTGTCATCCCAGGTGAGGGAGCAGTGGCTATGTAGTGAGAGAACTGGGAGTAGAACGGAGGAGTCCTGCTGCTTTTTTCCTGCCTTATCACCACAGACCTGCACATTTCTACTTCTCCATGGGTTTGGTGTGATCCCATCAAATCGCAGCGTGTCAGCCACCCCTGCTGCCTGTGCTGTAGAGGCAACACCTTTGCCACTGACCCGATACAGAGAGAGAGGGAAGCCCACGGAGAAAGGGACGTGGTGGAAGGGAAGGTCTGTCAGTTTCTGCATACATTTGGAAATGTTCAAATCCCAAGCTAGCAGGAGCCCTAGAAATAAGTAAAGAAAACTCGGTCTGCAAGGGAAAACCAATCGGGGAGCTACAGGATTTCCTGCTCCATGTGCTGGCCCAACGTGGCTTGTATGAAAACCTTGTCATGCTAATGCAGAGCTGCAGGGTGCCTGCTAGAGAGATCACGTACCCACATCTCACTGAGACGCCTTTAGCCTCTTCGATTTACTTTGCTAAGATACCAGTTGTGTGGCTCCTCGCCTGATTCTGCAGGTGCATGCACACACATGCACAGACATGGACAGAACTGCAGATACATGCTGCTCTCTGGTTTGCACTGCTCAGGTTATTAGGAAAACCTGCCCAAGGAGCTGGAAATGTGGAAGCACCTAGACAGAGGCGGCCCTAAAAGCTCCCCTGCTCTGGGGGTGGAGGCCATGGCATGAGCTTCTCCCTGCAGGACAGGTGGGGATGAAAGCCACGGCTGAAAGGCTTGTCCTGCTGGGGTATGTGGGTACTGACCAGATGCTGCCACCCCTGCAGATCTGGAGACAGCGGAGCCGCCGTCCTGTCCTGAGACTGCAGGCGCCCGGGCAAAGGACCATTGCGATTCCCTACTGGACTCCATCGACGCTCAGCTCAGCCAGCTGCTGGTGCGTGGGAGGGGCTGGGGGAAGCCCCGAGGAAGGGGCCATTGCTGTGGGTCAGAGGAGGCGTCTGAAATGTGGCAGGAAATTGGTCTCGGGATTCAGCTTATGCACCAACCACCCAGGCAGCTGGCTGGTCTGGGCTGGCACCTGGCCAAGGACCTGGCCACCCAGCTTGTGGGGAGTGGCGCCTGCCCAGGGATCTGGCCACCTGGCTGGCATGGGGTGGTGCCTGCCTGGGACCCGGCCGCTCAGCTGGTGTGAGGTGGTGCCTGCCTGGGACACGGCCACCTGGCTGGTGTGAGGTGGTGCCTGCCAGGGGATCTGATGGCCAGCGCCTCTGGACAGACCTCTCCCATCATGAGCCCCAGGTGCAGTCTCTGTCGTGTGGTGGATCTGTTTGGGTTTGTTTCACGCTGTTCTGGATGCTGCGTAAGCAGGCGAGGGGCGCGTGTAGCCTGCAGCTGCTCCATTATCTGTTTCTTTCCCTTCTGCAGTGGCAGGGCCGTGGTGCAGGAGTCGCGGGTGGGCGCACGAATGGAGACACCTCCTTGGAATGCTCCCCCAAGGCCCCCCGGGCAGCAGGTGAGTGAGCAACGGGCCCACCCCTAAAGCGAGGAGAGGGGCCACGAGGCCAGAAAGCAGCAGAGCACTTGGGACAACAGATGTAAAAACGGGATGGGAGTGAAGGCTAGAAGGTCAGACTCGGGGCACTGGACAGGGTGAGCGAATGATGGGACGAGCTTGGTCCTGGTGTGGTTTGTGGAGGGGCAAACCCCCCAGTGAGGGGAAGCTGGCTAGAGAGCAGCTGTTGATGGGGAAGCCCAGAGGCTCTGTTCAGAGACAGCTCAGAAATACAGGTGCTTCCCCAAATCCCTCCCTCTTGGAGCTGCAGAGTTGGGCTGTGCCCATCTCAGGACGGGCTTTCCGGTAAGATTCCTGCTTTGTCGGCCAAACAGCCTGTCGCACTGTATCTTGCTACTTCCAGGCCCCTCTGGAGTCAGGCACTTCAAGGATTTGCTGCAAAGTGAAAAGGAATTGGCGTGGGGAAGGGTTTTCAGTCTCAGCAAAGGGTCAGGCTTTCGCTCTGAGCTCTGGGCTCATTTTACCAGAAGCAGTTCTGCCTTCCCCACCGGTCAAGCCCCGTGTGCGGAGTCGTAATCCTCCCGCAAGGCGTGTGGACTCTGCCATGCTCTGATACACAGAGTGGGAGTTTTGCTGCAAGCCTCTGATAAACAAAGCAACTGAGGTTTCTAGTGAATTAAATCTGAAATCGAATGAAGCTCTCAGCAGTGCAGCCCCCCCGCAGTTTAATCCGTTTTCTAATTCCGTTTCTTTTAACCTGCCCCCTAATCTTGGATTCTGAGCACGCTGCAAGATTTTGAACTGAAAACACATAACTGCATCATCAACTTTGTTGCGGGAGGGAGGTCCTGGCAGCCAAGGAGGGGGCTCTGGGATCAGGGAAGGTATCGGTTGGGGATTTTGTGGTTATTGCATCAGACAACTGGTTTTGCTAAAACAATCAGCAGTGAACTAGTTAATGAAGTGATCATTTAAATGGGCATTAACTTCAGAGGTAGTACCCCATCCACATGACGAAGGAGGGCAGTTCACACCTCCTGGTGCTCTTGTGGCAGGCTCTCGGCAGACTCAGGCAGGCTCAGTTGCACCTGTCACACTTGGTTCATGTTTGGAAGGTTTTCTTGGCAATCAGAACTTCTTTTTTAAATGAAAGCTTCACTGCTGGAGCCCAGTTCTGCAGCAAGGCAGGGCCCTGCCAAACAGCTGTGGGCTTGTATGGGAAATAAAGTCTCAATAATATTGGGCCAAATAATTCTCTGATCCACGTTTTGATAGGTCCCATTTGCTCCCTGCCTGATGTCACAGTCCTCTGCTTGTGACATCACAGCGATTGCCAGAGCAGCCAGTCTCTGCTCAGCCCCACTCCAGGAGGGCAGCGGGGTGCGTCTGCAGGGGAGGGGGCGCTGGACTGCTCGGAGAAGGAGGAGCAAGGATTTGTGTTGCAGTTCACGCTCTGCAGGTCTGTGTTGCTGCCGTCACTCAGATCAAGGGCTCGGCTAAGGGGCACAGGTCCCATGCAGAGCTGGGTGAACTGTTGTAACCGCATTGAAGCCAACAGACGTTCGAATTTGGCCCACTAACAGCCTGGTGCGTGGCAGGGATGCCGCTTGGCCCCATCAGCCCTGTGTTGTTTCAGGAGGCGAGGGGAGGGAAGTGGCAGCTGGGAAGAGAGGCGGGCGGGGGCGCTGGAGCAATGTGTTTGGGATGGAGCGCGTGAGTGGGACAGACAGAGCCAGGGCGAGGAGCTGGTGGGGGAGCCGAGAGGAGTGATCGCTGAGCAGGGGGTCACTGCTGGCAGTGGGGTGGCCACGCGATGCCATGTGATGCGGGGAGGCAGGAGAACCATCTGAGGCTTTGACATTTAACAAGTGTCATAGTGGAAGTAAGGGGTTAACTGAGGGCGGGTCTTTGAAGCGAATAACCAATCGCAGGAGCAGCTTGTGGAGAAAGGTGCAACAGAATTGGTTGGAATACAAGTTTCAGAGGAATAAAACTCCTGCTTTGCTATTCCTAGGCCGTGATTGGCCAAAATACACTTTTGTGACATGCTGACGGGACGGGAGGCTCGGGGTGCAATGGGTCCTGTGCAGGCTACGAAATCTGAGCAGTTATAGGGGCCCAGTGGCAAAGCCCTGGGCCTGGATCTGCCCCCCATAGCGAGCTCTTCCCTATGGGGACAGACCCTGTTGGGGGGGGGGGCGAGAGGAGCTTGTGTTACCAGATAGTGACCCCTAGAGGTGACTGAGTGATGTTGACGGTCCCTGGAGGGAGACTCCACTATTCCAAGGAGGTCTCCAAGATGGCAGCCATGCTGCTGGGATGCAGGCGGTGGTGGCAGGGGGGATTTGGGCTGACATGCTGGCACTCAAAACTGGAGGCAACCAAAGCCAGAAGCTGCTTTCCCACATGCCGGCCTACGGTGCCCATCTTTCCCAGCCCTGTCCCTTAATACCCATCCCACGTGTGCAAGAAACACTCCTCAAAGGAGCAGGGAAACCATGGGTGGTCAACAGCAAGGGGTTCTGCTTGGAAGGTGTAGTCTGGCTCCCAGACACTGCAGTGATGGGCTCTCACGAGTGGGCGACCGCAACGCTTCTAGAAAGGAACAAGAAAAAGTGTGGGTGTGGGGGAGGGGTTGTGTGGTTTGCCACCCGCCAGAACAGAATCTACACCAAATAAGCTTTAAAATGGCAAATGGGAGCATATGACTAGCCAGATAGGATCAGAGCAAAGGTCCATCTTGACCAGCATTCTGTCTGCAGGTGCCCAGCGCCAGATGCTTCAGAGGAAAGTGTGAGAATCCTGCAGGGAGCAGGTGCAGTCCCATAAATGCCTGCAGAGAGAAGGCAGGTGATGGAGGCAGCATGGCCCAATGGGTAGGATGTGGCAGGAGACTCCGGAGACCTGGGTTCTGTTCCTGCCTCTGGCTTCCTGTGTGTCCTCGAGCAATCTACTGCTTCTCTGGCCCTCAGTGTCCCCCATCTGTACAATGGGGCTCGTGGTAGTGACCCTCCTGGGTAAAGCAGGGAGAGATCTGCAGATGAACAGAGCAGACTGTCCTGCCTTCTCACTGTAGTGAGCTTGAACGCCTCTGCAGGGGAAGAGACCGGCTTGTTGTTGTTATAATGATATTTACAAATCAGTTCCTCCTTCATTTAGCTTTCAGGACCAAGTTCAGAGTTGGGTGGATTTTCCCCCCTGCAAGATCGGACATTGCTAGCAGAACAGAGCGGGCAAGGCAGGAACTCAACTGCCCCGTATGGAGTGCTAGCTCCGAGCCTCCCGGCTGGATGGCCTCTGCTCCATTTCCCGTTGAGCTGTGCAGGCCTGGGAAAGTGAGTGCTCGTTGGCAGTAATGCTGGCTTGGGGAGGGACTCACAGCTCTTTGTTTACTTCCCTCCCCTGTGCAGAGATGGAAGGATGCTGTGCAAACCAGGACGGCACCCCCTGGGACGAAGCCGGCCCCTCTCGGAAGGAGGAGTACGGCTGGAGGCTGATGCATCTCCTTGGCTCTGAGCAAGCCCCGGAGAACCTGGGGGACCAGAGCGACTCGAATTCCATCTGCACGGAGGACTTTGCTGCGACGTTTCGGGAAGGCATGGTCGACCCCCTGGGGAATTCCGATGGGGAAGGGGATGTGCCAGCTGGGGGTTTCCCAGCCGGAGACTCTGCTGAGGAAGGGCGCGTCACGGGAATCAAAGCCAGGCCCGCTGGTCTCTGCCCCACCGTGGAGGCGTGTGGGGCCGCTGCAGAGGGCTTCATGCTCAATACAGCGAAGAGGCCGCACATCCTGCAGCGGTTTGAGGAGGGGCTAGAAGGGGACTCAGCCCTGGCTTTGTCCAGCAGCGTGGAAGGGCCCCAGTCCCTGAGCTCCAGGACCAGGAGAGAGAGCCTGGAGTCTCTGGGGGGCAGGATATCCAGGCTGAGTCAGACCAACACCACGGACACCCCAAGCAGCACGGACACGGGGAAAGCCAGTGTCACGGGAAGCCGGGCTCCTGGACTAGCTCCACCTGAACGGGTGGAGATCTCGGTGGAAAGCGTTCCTTGGCCCCTGGAGAGCTCTTCCAGATGGGGCCAGGACTCCCGGGAGAACTCCCGACCTTTCAGCAGCCCGTTGCTCGTGGAGGAGCTGGGTCCCAGCCAGCCACTCAGAGCTCTGGGTGCCGGTGCCGGCACGAGAGCCTGGACCAGAGAGTCCCAGCCTGTGAGGACAGCTCCGAGTCCGTCTGGGAGGAGACAGACTGAGTATGGGCACGTCTGGTCCGACAGCCCCTCTCACTCCGCACCCACAGCAGCCCATGGCAGCCCTTCACTGGCCTCCAAAGGGGAGAAGAGCCCCCGGCTAATAGCATCCCCCTGCCCCGACCAAGGGCTGCCCCCGGAGACGCTGGGAGATCAGGGCTCAGCTTTGCAAGGGTTTGGTGCCACCACACAGCTGGCTAGTAGCCCTGAAAGCGCCCAGACACCCGCAGCTGGGGTTAGCGATGGCTGCGTGGTGACGCAGGGCGGGACTGGTCCGGGAGATCCTGAGAGGGAGGCTCCAGAGCTGCTGCAACAAGGATCGGTGATTCCCCGGGGACCGTCTGGAAGGGGCGTCACTCATGCTGCGGCTAGCGGGGGCAGGGAGGGAATCTGGCGGAGCTGGGAGCTGCAGGCTGGGCCAGCGGAGAGGGGAGCTCGCGGCCTGACACTGTGTAAGTCTGGAGCACGGGGCTAGTCGGCTGGCTTGTCCCTCTGCCCCTGTCACCATAGAACTGAGCATGTGGGGAGAAAACACTCATCGCTGAGCTAGGCAGGAGGGCGTCAGCATGGACGGGAAGCTCGAGATCAGCACCTGGGAGAGCAGTGACAGTATGGGGGGCGGGAACGTCCCTGTCCCCACCAAGGGGGCCGGTAGCAGGGGACTGGCCTGTGCTCAGGGCAGTGCAGGGAAAGTGACTGTGACTGGCCCCTGCACTGCAGGGCGAGGGAGACCCCCTGCTCCTCTCCGAGTGGGGCTTGGTGGTGTAACGCTGGGGCAGGGCCTGAAGCTCTGAGCAGGGCCAACCCAGCCGCAGGAGTGGTTGGGGGCTGGGCAGGGCCCCATGGATTCCAGGAGCGGGGAGGAAGGGTCAGTTCCCTGGGGCAGGAAGCTGAAGGATTCTGGGGTGGGTAGGCAGCTGGAAGGGGGTGACAGATGGGGCCCCTGTCTGTGGGTGCTGGGGGGAGGTGTTCCCAGCAGGAGAGGAGGGAGCTGGGCACCGTGAGGGGAAGGACTGCGGCTGCTAAAGCCGCCCCTGCTTTCCTGTTTACCCCCAACCCGACTCCCATGGACTCTCCCTGCTCAGTGCTGAGGGAAGAGTTCTGCCTGGCCCCCGATTTGCCTGGCCACTCAGCCTGGTGCCTCATGGGATCCTAGAATCTCAGGGTTGGAAGGAACCTCAGGAGGTATCTAGTCCAACACCCTGCTCAAAGCAGGACCAACCGCCAACTAAATCATCCCAGCCAGGGCTTTGTCAAGCCTGACCTTAAAAACCTCTAAGGAAGGAGATTCCACCACCTCCCTAGGTAACCCATTCCAGTGCTTCACCGCCCTCCTAGTGAAAAAGTTTTTCCTAATATCCAACCTAAACCTTCCGCATTGCAACTTGAGACCATTACTCCTTGTTCTGTCATCTGCCACCACTGAGAACAGTCTAGATCCATCCTCTTTGGAACCCCCCTTCAGGTAGTTGAAAGCAGCTATCAAATCCCCCCTCATTCTTCTCTTCTGCGGACTAATCCCAGTTCCCTCAGCCTCTCCTCATAAGTCATGTGCTCCAGCTCCCTAATCATTTTTGTTGCCCTCCACTGGACTCGCTCGAATTTTTCCACATCCTTCTTGTAGTGGGAGGCCCAAAACTGGACACAGTACTCCAGATGAGGCCTCACCAATGTCGAATAGAGGGGAATGATCACATCCCTCGATCTGCTGGCAATGCCCCTACTTATACAGCCCAAAATGCCATTAGCCTTCTTGGCCACAAGGGCACACTGTTGATTCATATCCAGCTTGTCGTCCACTAGGTCCTTTTCTGCAGAACTGCTGCCTAACCATTCGGTCCCTAGTCTGTAGCAGTGCATGGGATTCTTCTGTCCTAAGTGCAGAACTCTGCACTTGTCCTTGTTGAACCTCATCAGGTTTCTTTTGGCCCAATCCTCTAATTTGTCTAGGTCCCTCTGTATCCTATCCCTACCCTCCAGCGTATCTACCACTCCTCCCAGTTTAGTGTCATCTGCAAACTTGCTGAGGGTGCAGTCCACGCCATCCTCCAGATCATTAATGAAGATATTGAACAAAACCAGCCCCAGGAGCGACCCTTGGGACACTCCGCTTGATACCGGCTGCCAACTAGACATGGAGCCATTGATCACTACCCGTTGAGCCCGATGATCTAGCCAGCTTTCTATCCACTTTATAGTCCATTCATCCAGCACATACGTCTTTAACTTGCCGGCAAGAATACAGTGGGAGACCGTATCAAATGCTTTACTAAAATCAAGGAATAACATGTCCACTGCTTTCCCCTCATCCACAGACCCAGTTATCTCCTCGTAGAAGGCAATCAGGTTAGTCAGGTGTGACTTGCCCTTGGTGAATCCATGCTGACTGTTCCTGATCACTTTTCTTCCTCATGCTGAGCTCCTGGTCCCTGATGGTACTGGGGGGCCAGTGGGTCTGTGCTACCAGCAGCTCTGTTCCCCCCCCTCGCCCAACCCAGGATGCAGGAGTGCATGTGCCTTCCAGGATCCCCTGGCTACTGGCTCCTGTTCTCATCCTCTCTGCAGGTCCTGACCCAGAGCCGGGCGTCTCCGAGAGTCGTGGGATGCAGAGCAGCCTGAGCGCAGCTTGGGACGAGGTCTATCTGGGGCCCTGCAAGTACAAGCACGTGGCTGGTAAGAGGAGCTGCCAACTGGCTGCTGCTTCATGGGGAAAGTGCTGGGTCCTGCCCCCAATCCTGGGATCTGTGCCCTCCGATCGATCTGCCCCTCTCCTGGAAAATGGGTGATCCTGTCCCGGCCTCGCCTGCTGGTCCCCACCTTGGGAGATGCCGGCGCTCCTTGTCACTGCAGGGAGGGTGGAACAAATGCAGGATCTGGGGGAGGACAGAGCCTCTGGGTTTGCGTCGTGGCTGGGGCTGGTAGAACAGGGGAGTCACCCCTGGTCACAGGTTCAGTTTGGTAAGAGGAAGGCAGGGAAACCCCCCTCACTCTGCGGTCAGCTGGGTTTGGCGCCTCTCCCATCCCCCATTCATCCTCTTTCAGGCGTCCCCGTCACCAGTTTCGACACCGTCACCATCGACAGTGACCTGGACTCGGTGAGGACGGAGACAGTCCAGGTTCACCTCCGCAAGGCCATCGGCCGCCGGAGAGGTACGGCCCCGGCCGGGGCTCAGCCAGACGGCCATTCCCCAGGGAGCTCGTCAGTGTCTCCTCCGGACCAGCCTCTCTCTGCCCCCGGCCCTGCTCTCGCTGTCGCAGGGCGATGGAGCTGCCTTGGGGGGGTGGGGATGGACCTGCCCCTTGCAGCTATGTGGGCCCCGCTCCCTCTTGTTCCCGTCCCACCCACAGGTGACTGTTTGTGCCTGCTCTGCTCTCTCTGCGGCACGCACCCAGACCCCCCAGCACAGTCACACCCCTGCTGCGTTAGCCACATACTATGAGGAGCGATTGCCTTAGCGAGGTGGCTCAGAGTCCAAGTCCAGGCTGGCTCCCTGCTCCCCACAGCTCCTCCTGCTGGCTCTGGGCTGCACTTGCTTTCCCAGGAGCTAGTCTACTATTGCTGTGGAGACACAAAGTTTCTCTTCTCCAAACAGCTCCGGGCCGCAGCACCAAGGGGCCCCGCTGCCCACGGAGAGACTCGTCGGGGTAAGTGCTGATGAGAGTCCACCAGCTCGGCCCCTGGCACCATGCCAAGCAGTGATGGTCCTGTGGAGACACACGCCCAGGGCTCCCACTGCCTGTGGCACTGCAACCTGCCACAGTGTCAGGGCAAATCCTGCAGACAAGAACACAGGAACGGCCGCACTGCTCAGACCAGTGATCCAGCTAGCCCAGCGTCCTGGCTCTGACAGTGGCCAATGCCATATGCTTCTGGCAGTCAGAGGTTCAGGGACATAGGGTTGCATCCCTACCCCTACTGGCTAATAGCCATTGATGGACCTAGCCCCCAGGAACATATCTAGTTCCTTTTTGAACCCAGTTATAGTCTTGGCTTTCACAACATCCTCTGGCAAGGAGTTCCACAGGTTGACTGTGTGTTGTGTGAAGAAATACTTCCTTTTGTTTGTTTTAAACCTGATGCCTGTTAATTTCATTGGGTGACCCCTGGTTCTTGTGTTATGAGAAGGAGTAAATAACACTTCCTTATTCACTTTCTCCACACCAGTCATGATTTTATAGATCTCTATCATATCCCCCCTTAGTCGTCTCTTTTCTAAGATGAACAGTCCCAGTCTTTTTCATCTCTCCTCATATAGAAGCTGGTTCACCCCCCTTAATCATTTGTGTTGCCCTTCTCTGAACCTTTTCCAATTCTAATATAACTTTTCTGTGGTGGGGCGACCGGAACTCCACACAGTCATGGTGAGGGCATCCCATGGATTTATATAGAGGCAATATGATATTTTCGGTTGTATTTTCTATCCCTTTCCTAATGATTCCCAATATTCTGTTCGCTTTTTTGACGGCTGCTGCACATTGAATGGATGTTTTCAGAGAACTATCCACAGTGACTCCAAGATCTCTCTGACTGGTAACAGCTAATTTAGACTCCATCATTTTATCTGTATAGTTGGGATGATGTTTTCCAGTGTGCATTACAATCAACATTGAATTTCACCTGCCATTTTGTTGCCCAGTCACTCAGTTTTGTGAGATCCCTTGTAGCTCTTCGCAGTCTGCTTTGGACTTCACTATCTTGAGTAGTTTTGTATTGTCTGCAAATTTTGCCACCTCACTGTTCACCCCTTTTCCATATAATTTATCCTGCATGTCTCTGCTCATCCTGACCTCCCGCAGGGGCAGTGAGACCGCATCGGAGCAGGATGATGTGATTAGCGCAGGGGGTTGGGAAACCAGGATTCTGTCTGAGGCTTCGCTGCACCCTGCAGTTAGTCTCTTGCATTTTGGGGTGGTTATTTTTTTAAAAGCCACAACCTGATCTGAGCCGGCCGGGAGCCACCAGCTGAGAGGTGAATTCTGAAATGGTCAGGAGCCGCTGACCCAAGCCGGGATGGGACCCCAGCTCGTGCAGTGTCATTCCACTGGCTCATGCAGAGTGGGCTCCCCCAGCTTTCAGTCCTAGACACAGTCCTCTCCAGTCCTGCATCACCATCTCGGCCATTTTGACAGTCCCCCGGCTGGCGGCAGTTCTCCCAGGGGGGACGCTCTCCCTTGCATTGATCCTTGGCACAGGGCACTGGCACCTCCACTTGCCCTTGGAGCACAGAGCCTGCCAACGCCAGGCCCTTGGAGGCTGGGCATGAAGAAGGGGTGGCCTATCTGCACTGCATTCGCTACTGCTGCTCTTACAGGTGCCTGGGCTCCAGCAGTGCAGTCACTGACGAAGAGGAGGAGGAGGAGGAAGAGGTCCTGTGGTCTCGTGGCAGCGCCGACTGGAGGAGCAGCAGCCCTGCGAGGTGGAGCTCAATGCCAAGCAGGGCAGAGGCCAGCTGGGAGGGTACCAGGAAGGAAGCCTGCCTGGAGCACCAGGTGCTGTCCTGTGGCGGAGGGCAATTCTCCCAGGGGGGTTGGGATGGTGGGTGCACTGCAAATAGGGCTGCAAGGTGGGGAGTGGGGCAGGTAGCAGAGCTGCTGAACTTGACACGAGTAAGTGCAGAGAATCGTTACAAGGCAGCTCTTGCACGAGACCCTCGCAACGCATGGAGCTACGCACTATTCTGGAAATCCAGGCAAGTGCAGCGACCCCACCAGTGACGTAGGAAATCCCAGAAGCACAGTATAGCAATCCCGTCTCCTGTACCATGGCAATAGCAGTGTTGTCCAGCAGTAAGAGCAGGGTGCCGGGGGTCTGGTGACTGCCTTCTAGTCCCACTCCTGATACTTCCTCCCCGCATGGCCTTGGGCGAGTTACTTAACCCCGCTGACCTTTAGTTTACAAAGAGGATAACATGCTGCCCACCCTTTTATAACACTGGAGCCTTTGGGGTTCTATCAGAGCTAAGTATTATTCCACCCGAAGTAACTGCATGGGAAGAACGTGGTCAAGGCTGCAGAATTCAGTGCTCCAAAGATGGGAAATGCTGGCGCTAGAGCTGGTCCATGTGTGTATCCCACATGGGGGTGTTTGCACGCCGTGGGCCCGAGGCCGGAAGATCTAACAAGCCATGTCTGAGAGTAGTTCTCGTGGCCCCGGCCCAGGGCACAAGAGGCAGCGCGAGCCGACGTCTCTCCAGTTCCTTCTCACTGCCGCTTGGCCCGAGTCGGAATGCCTGTGTCCACAGATGTCTCCAGCTTTTATTCTTAATACTCAGTAAATCAATTTGTAAATAGTTGGTGGTTTTTATGTTAGAGGTTTTAGGATAGTTACCGTAGGTAGTTCCCCCCCCTGCACCGGAGACCTCTTCCCTGCAGCCTGGGACTATGCCCAGGGTTCCAGGTTCGTCCCCTGTACGTTGGCCCCATTGGGTGAGCAGAGCCCCTCTGAGCACGAGCTTAGGAACAGAGTCTACAACTGCTAAGCCCAGGACTCTGTTTCCCAGGCTTCCCATGACTCTCATGACCAGATCCCCCCCAGATCTGTCCATAAAAGAAGGGATCCCTTCACGAGCCCGCCCAGGCTGGACAAGCCTTCACATGCAAATCCCATGGGTCCAGGACCGTGACATACCCCCAGGATCTGTCGGTACCTTCGGTGGCTCCAGCTGTGAATCACAAGTGTTGGGCCTGCTTCTTCCTCCTTGCCGTCCCATCCTCCGAGGACCCTGCCCGGCTACAGCTTCCCGGGACATGTCGGAACCATTGGCCGGGTTGTCTGGACACCTACATTACACCAGAGGATATTTTCTTCCCTTATCCCCAGTCTCCTCTCCTCACTGGCCCAGTCCTTCTGAGAGACATGGCTATCCCAGAGGACAAAACTGCGTCGGTGTCACTGGAGCCATCCCCTCTCCAGCTGCCGGGCAGGCGCATGCACCCTCTGGTGCCAGCCACTCCACCGCTGGAGGGAGAGCAGTTCTCAGACTCAGAGAAATCGGATGCTCTGGCTGGTCAGTCATCTCCTCACGGAGATCTGAGCCCCATCCTCCCTGATGTGATTTCCCCAGGGACCACTGGTACCAGATGCTGTAGGGTCCCCCCACGTGGGGTCCCCCCACCTGGTCGATCCCGCCTTTTGGCCATATTGGGGCCCCTGGAGCCCCTATGGGAGATGCCCTGGATCCGTCCGTGAATCCTACCACACCTCTCTTACTCACTCCCCAGATCCGACAGAGTACAAGGGGAGGACAGAGACCCAGATTTGCAGGTACCAACAGGCTCATCTCTGGCTGAAGCCATCACTTCATCCTCACCCTCTCCGCCGGACGACCATAGGCAGTACCAGGAGCTGCTTCGGAGGAGGTCCAGGACTTCCCGCACCAGTTCCTGGCTATTCTGCAGCCTACAGGTCTGAGCAAGGTGGTGCATCTGGTTAACGAGGCCATCAGGGAGCTGGCCAGAGTGGTGTGGCATAACCCTGCCTCCTGCGCCCCCACGCCTAAAAACGCCGAGAGAGGCTGTTTCGTCTCTGCCAAAGGGGCGGCATTTCTTTTCTCCCACCCAGCACCCAGCTCGCTGGTGCTACAGGCAGCTGTGAAAAGAGCGAAATTGCAGCGTCCCAAACCCACCCCTGCTGATAAGGCCGTGACGAGGTTGGACCTGTTGGGAAGAAAGGTCCTTTCCCTGCAATTCTGTATCGCTAAAGATCGGGGCTTGTTAGCGAAAAGGAGTTTACCAATCACTCCAGTTTTAAGGGCAAGCTTCCCCCTGATGACAGAGCCCAGGTCCAGCCTCCCTTAGAAGAGGGCAGGTTAGTGGCTAAGACTCCCCTCATGCTGTGGTGGACGCAGTGGAGGCTGCATGAGGAGTGTGTCTTGGCTCTGCCCTGGTAGCAAACGTGTGACCAAAGAACAGTCCCTTGGAGGGTAAACGCGACCGTGGGAAGACTGGGCTCCTTGCAGCAAGAGCTTTCCTCCCCGTGGACAGATGGCAGCTAATGAGCAATCTGACTGCGGTCAGGATGTGCCACGTGACCCCGTTCGCCAGGCTTCATCTCGGCTGCCTACAAGCCGGGCTCCTGTCTGGCTACTCCCCAGGCAGGGAGTGCATCGACACCAGGGCCATCACCTCTCTTACCGGGCACTCGAACCCGGATTGAGCTAGGGTTGGCGTCCCCTTCGTCACTCTGCCCCCAGGGCTGCCATCGTAACCGACACATCCCTTATGGGTTGGGGAGCTCACTTGAACAGCCACTATAAACAGGGTCACTGGACCCACATCGACCTACTGCAGCTGAGGGCAGTCCGCCTGGCAAGCGGGATCTTCTCCTGCTCATTCGATCTCTTCATGTCCATGTGATGTCACAATATCACCACAGTCTTTTACATAGACAGGGCGGAGCAAGATCTCTCCCCCTTTGCCTAGAAGCAGTCAGGCTTTGGAACAAGTGCATCAGAAACCACATCACTATCCAAGCCATGTACATTCTGGGTGCCCAAAACTCTTTAGCAGACAACCTGGGCAGATACTTTTCTGCAGCTCACGAGTGGGAGATGCACAGCTCTTCCCTGAGCGAGATAGTCACTCAGGGGGAACACCGCAATGGGATCTCTTCGCATCCCAAATGAACAGGCTTTCCTTGTACTGCTCCACGGGAGCTGTGGGTCACGGCCCCCAGGGCAATGCTCTCCATTTACCATGGACACACAGTCCCAGAGGTGCCTTTCCCCTGTTCCCACAGGGCTTACGAGAGATCCGCCAGGACAGGGCCAGAGACATTCTCCTAGCACCCGTCTGGCCAGGCAGTTTTGGTTTCCGGAGCTCCTGAGGATGTCGATCCATCCTCCTATCAGGATCTGCCCCTTCCCAGATTGCCTTCCTCAGCAAGGGGGCAGAACCAGACACCCAGTCGAGACCCTGTCCACCTCCTGGCCTGGTGTTTGGGTGGGGATCAGAACTAGAACACGCTTGCTCGGCACCCATCCAAGTTATTCTTATTCAAAGTAGGAAAGACTCAACTAGCACCTGCTACTTAGCTAAATGGAGACAATTTTCTACCTGGGCTCAGCATAAGGTGCTATCTCCAAATTCTGCAAGGATCCCAGTTGTTTTAGATCACCTCCGGTTTTGAAGAGCTCAGGTCTTTCCATTGGCTTGCTGCAGGTCCATCTTGCAGCAATCAGTGCCTTCCTTCCGCCAGAAGGTGGATATTCCACCTTTACTCACCCTACAGCAGTGACATCCATGAAAGGCCTAGTTAGGATCTTTCTGCCAATCATCAAACCTACCCCTCAATGGAACCTCAATCTCGGCCTGTCACCACTCATCAGGCCACTGTTTGAATCCTTGGCAACATGCTCCATGGCCCACCTGTCCATGAAAGTTGCATTCTTAGTGGCTATTCCCTCAGCCAGAAGGCTGAGCAAGAGGGGAGCCCTCATGGCAGACCCATCACATTGTTCATCACCAGGAAAAAATCTCTCTCTGTCTACATCCTAACGTCCTCCCCAAGGTTATTTCTGAATGCCATGTCAACCACACTATCCACTTACCTGTTTTCTTCCCGAAACCCCATTCCTCTGCCGAGGAGAGGAAACTTCGTTCCCTTGACTCAGACGTGCTGTAGAGCTCTACCTGCAGAGGACCAAATCTATCAGCAGATCACCTAGGCTATTTCTTGCCATAGCAGAAAGGTTGCGAGGAGAAGCGAAATCCTCTCTGAGAATCTCCAGATTGATCTCTGGGTGCTACCAATTAGCACGTATCCATCCAAAGGGCACGCTCCAGGAGAGCACAAGCTGCCTCCACAACGTCACTGCAGAAAGTACCATCGCTGGACACACGCAGAGCAGCTACCTGGAGTTCCATTCGCACATTCACAAAACATTACGTACTAGTTCAGGCCGCTGCTGTGGATGCAGCAGTGGGACCTGTAGTACTTCAAGCATCTTTCTTGCTGGCACCCCTGCACCCCCCTCCTGTCTGAATACTGCTTGTCAATCACCCCCGCGTGGAATACACATAGGGACCAGCACTCGAAGAAGAAAGGGAAGTTACTTGTAACTGGGAGTTCTTCGAGGTGTGTGGTCCCAGTCTGTAGTCCACTGTCCGCCCTCCGTCCCCTCTGCTTCAGATCCTGCTGGATTCATGGTACGAAGAGGAACTGGAGAGGCATCAGCCCACACTGCCTCTTATGCCCCACTCTGGATCATGAGGAAAAGAGGCCAACGGATGCTGTTGGTTAGAGTTTCTGAACTCGGGTGCATGGCGTGCATGGGCACCCACGTGGAATACAGACAGGGACCACACGTCTCGAAGAACTCCCCGTTACAGATAAGTAACCTCCATTTGCCCATGCAGCCTGGATTCTGTCCCCTTGGACATGGTCATGGATGCAAAGACTGTGCTTCAATGCACGTGCACACCAGCAAACAGAGTGGTTGGACGGTAACGTGGGAACTCGGAGGAGGACCTGTCTGCTATTTGCATAAGAGAAGCTGTTGGGGTGGCTGAGGCCGGTTGTGTCAGCTGCTGGAAGGGGCTGCTGGGAAGTGCTGCTAGGGGAGGTCAGAGCCATAGCGAACTGCGTGTTTGATTCATTGCACAGGACCTGGGCGCTGAAGAGGAGAGGCTGTTGCAGAGGAAATCCCAGCTACACGAGGCTGACTTGTCCCTGAGTGACATCCGGGGTCAGAAAAAGGTATTTTCCCAGCAGCCCCATCCAGCCGAGAGGAGCCGGGGCAGAGACAAACCAGCTGCCGGCAGGGATCCATCAGAGCATTGGGTCACACCCTTGTTCACAGGCACTTCGTGTCCAGAGACGGTGGCTGCTGCTAGGGCAAGGCAGGGTGTGGCTGGGGAGGTTCGAGTTACTGATGGGACCCAGGGGACGGGATCAGCACCCCGCAGCTCCACCACGGAGGGAGGATAAGGGAGGCTTGGAGTGTGGGTGGGAGATCTGGCTCCCAATATGGAGCAGCCTGAGTCATGGATGGACCTGCCGTCTTTTGCTGGTCTCCTGCTAAACTCAGCCCTAGACCACATGCTTCTTGGGGCTCCTACTGTGTTTGCGCATTGTTTGTCCTGGGACAGCTTCCAGCACTGGGAGAGAGGCCTTGGGACACGTGGGATTTGGAGAAAGCACCTGGCCAGGACTTGGCAGGGGCTTGGGTCTAATCTACACTCAAGAGTTTTGCCAGTCTAGCTATACTGGTTATACTGGTACTAGCTATACTGGTTATACTGGTACTAGCTATACTGGCAACCCCCCCTACTGGAGATGCCGTATACTGGAGAAAAGGGCCTTTGCTGGAGTAGCTTATTCCAGTTCAGTGAGCGAAGGGGCAATCCTGGCAAAAGCCCTTTTTTGCTGGTAGAATCGAGCCTGCACCGGGGCTTTTGCCAGCACAGCTATGGCATAAAAACCTCCCATCCTAAGTGACGTAGCTGGGCCGGCAAGTGTAAAACCTGGCCTGACATGTCATCTGTCGTGCCCACATACCATGGTGATGGGCCCCAGACAGGGCGAGTATAATCTAGCCAGGCAGGTGGGGAGTTCCCTGTGGCGGGGGCAGCTTGGCCTCTTCCTGGGCCTGTGTTCTTGCTTCTTAGTGGAGGGGTCTGATGGGCTCCAACCCCTCCCCACGGCACCCACTTGGGGCCTGCAGGGATGATCTGTCATGTTGGCCCTGTCAGACCAAGGCGGGAAGCTACAGAGCCCTAGGCCCATCGGGGTGAAGTTCTTGCTGAAGGACCCCAAGCGTTTGGCTCTGTCAGCAAGAGAGTCCTGTCTGAGCGCTGCTGTTGGGTTGCCAGGGGAAGGGAGAGCAACACTCGTGTGTGTCGCTGTCTGGGGGAGACCCGTCCCGCCTGGACTCCGCTCCCATTCGGCACCTGGGCCTGTGGGGACGCTGCAGTGGGCTCAGCCTGTGGCGAGGCGAAGGGCCTGGGTGGTAGGGCAGGGAGATGGACACGTGCCTTTCCTGACACCTTTCCTCCCCTCTGCTCCCAGCGCGCGGTCCAGGACCTGGAGTTGCTGCGTGGGGCCCTGGAGAGGAGCCAGAAGGAGGCGGAGATGCTGGAGTCCTGCCTGAAGGAGACTCGGAGCAAAGCGGATGAAGCCAGGTACCTGGGGTGAGGTTGGGCACACAGGGACCTTGGCAGGCCAGCGCTGGACGGGGGGTGTGGGAGTCGTCTTGCAAATATGGGCCTGCTCTCACTGAAGCCAATAGCAAAATGCCTGTCGAGATCAGTGGGAGCAGGAGCAGGCCCAAGAACCTCTCGCTCCTAGCTAGTTAGTGACACAGGCACTTTGCCCAGCGGAGGGCTGGCCTGGCAGTGTGCTGGGCGAGCCTGGGGGCCACCTCTGGCTGGCACTCACTGGAACAGATGGCAGCCACCCCGTGGCACGTGGAGGCCAGATGGCCCTGTAGGCTAAGCTCCCTCGTGATCTCAGCAGCCCTTGCATAGACCCAGAGGGAGCAGTGCATGCTGGGACCATTTGCCTCTGCACGCCGCACTTTCCTCTAGACCCTCAGCAAGCTGCCCGTCTCGAAGCGTGCCGCCTCTCTGAGGGTGTCGGTACCTTCTTCCCACAGGGCGGACCTGCTGCTGCTGCAGTACAGGCGGGACTCGTGCCTGCGGGAGCTGCCGGAGCTGGAGAAGGAGCTGAGCACGCTGAGACGGCAGCGCTCCACCATGCACAGCACCCAGCTGGGGGCCTTCCAGGCCGAGGTGAGGGTGGGGGTCCCAGGGTGGCCAGTGGGTCAGATGGTTCCCATGGGGGATTGCAGGAGCAGTGTCCACATTGCAGGTGGGAGGGGAAACAGGAGGCAAAGGCGAGAAGGGCAGAGAGATGGAGTAGGGAGGGGAGGGGAGGGGGAAACCCCATTGCCCACTGCGGGGATAAGGGGATCTCTCACTGCACAGTCGGGAGGCCGTGCTGCTGGGTTTCCATGGGCCAGGAAGCAGCGCTGCGGGACACGGGGCCAGGCGATCCCATCCTCTGCTCGTTTCCCAGGTCGCCTCGCTAGCGGCCGAGCGGGAGGAGCTGAAGTCCCGTGTGCGTCACCTGGAGGGCAGCTTGTCCTTCCTGGAGCGCCAGGAGCTGGAGCGCCAGCTGAGCTGCTGCAAGGCAGAGTTGTTCTCTGAGCAGCGGGCAGCCAGAGCCAGGACCGAGGAGCTGCAGGAGGTAGGTGAGCTCCCCGGGGCTCCCGGCTGCTTCTGGTGCTGCCTCCCAGACTCCATTGGAAGCAGGTGGTGTCTGCAGAGCAAAAGACTCCCATGTCGGGCTGGGTCCTTCCCCATCCTGAGTGCTGTGAATGAGATCTGGGATTCTCCAGGTGCGTCTGTTTCCTCAGCAGCTGGAAGGGCCTCCCAGCCATATTATTTATTGTTTGTATTGCAGTCACACCTCGCAGCCTAGTCATGGCCCAGGACCCCCTGGTGCTAGGCGCTGCAGACACAGCACAGAGACACAGTCCCTGCCTCAAAGAGCTCACGCTGTAAATAGTTCTCTTGTCCCCCAACCACACAGGAGAGGTTCCCTTGGAGGCAGCGTCTTGTGGCTGAGGTATAACTCACGGCAGAGCCCAATGTCTCTCCCCACCCCAAGACCGTCTGGTGGGAATGATCCGGACGCTGTCATCGCTGTGAGTGGGGGGTCGCCCCCTGTCTGAACAGCAGCTGTGTGACGCGCTCCTGCCCGGCCCTGGGCTCGCTCGCGGTGTGACTTGTGTGCGTTCTTTCGGCTGCAGTGCCTGGAGGAAGCTCAGAACAAGCTGGAGGAGAGGACGGCAGAGGGGACGGAGCTGCAGGAGGAGACCACGCGACTGAGACTGCAGCTCAGGGAGCTGGAGAGGGTGAGGGAAGCTCAGGTTCAGGTCAGATGGTTTCCACATGGGGAGGGAGGGGAGCAGGAGCAATGGATGGTGGGGGGTTTGCTTGGTAGGTTTAAGAAACTGTCCCCCTTTGTATGCCACACCCCTCGCCCACTTCCAATAGAGAGGGGTATGTACGCACGCTGCCCCTGGTCCCAGTGCAGGCCTGGTGGGAGTTGGGTGGCGAGACTGTTGGGGCATGAACAGGGCCGGCTCCAGGGTTTTTGCCGCCCCAAGCAGCAAAAAGAAAAAGAAAAAGGAAAAAAAGAAAAAAAGCCGCAATCGCGATCTGCTCTACCGCTGCCGCTTCAGTCTTCGGCGGCAATTCGGCGGCTGGTCCTTCGCTCCAAGAGGGAGCGAGGGACCCGCTGCGGAAGACCCGGACCTGCCGCCCCTCTCGGTTGGCCGGCCCAAGCACCTGCTTGCTGGGCTGGTGCCTGGAGCCGGCCCGGGGCATGAAGAATAACGGGGTGAAGGCAGGCTGCCAGGAGACCTCTGCCAGCAGCGAGTTATATCTAGCCCCCGCCGGGAGAGACGAGAACCCCATTGCTAGGGGGAGTCAGACTGGAGGTTCAAAGCCCTGCAGCCAGGGTCTGCCGATGTTTCCATAATGGGTATTCACCCACGAAAGCGTATGCTCCAATACATCTGTTAGTCTATAAGGTGCCACAGGACTCTTAGTTGCTTCTCCTGGACCCCGCCTCCCCTCCCACGGGGCACTGCCCGGGACCCCGCCTCCCCTCCCACGGGGCACTGCACGGACCCCGCCTCCCCTCCCACGGGGCATCGCCGGGACCCCGCCTCCCCTCGCACGGGACACGGCCTGGGACCCCGCCTCCCCTCGCACGGGGCACTGCCCGGACCTCGCCTCCCCTAGCACGGGGCACTGCCC